CCCTGCTTGCGAGGTCACCCGTAAGAGGGGACGGGGTGGCAGGTCAGGCGTTTGGGGTGGAGGGAGGGCAGGCGTAAGCCTTTTTTTTTAAGGAGAAACGTCCCAACCACTCATCCCGAGAGCCCCCAGGTTTTAGGTGGCGCTCTCAGACGGGCCAGGCACACTTGCAGGTGCCACTTCAGGCACTTCAAGTCACCTGTACAGGCGCTGGCCTGATGCTAGACCCAAACAGACCTGACCACACACATGTACACACCCCAAAACTCAACCCAAGAGCTCAGAGACACCAAAAAAAAAGTCTGCTCCAACCTGTGCCTCACCTTCTCCCTACGAGCAAAAGCTTTACTCAACTATTCCCTTACAGGCTTCACCAGGAAGTAATTAATTTAAAAGCAGAACATTGTTTAAGGCTCCTGACCTTCGCTGCCAACGGATTTAACTCTTCCACGACCACACTTTGCCCCATCTCTTTGCTGCTAGAGGGAAAAACCCCACGCCAGAGGGGCAAGTGGCTCGAGTACACAAACCAGAGCACCACACACTTGCACAAGGCTGGAAAGCCAAGCAGCCACTTCAGGTAGACGATTTCCAGCCAGAAGGGTGACTTGAGTCAATAAGGACCTTTCAATCCTCAGCACATTCTTCTCATACTTAACCCTGATATGATTCCTCAACACATCCAGAGCTTTGCCAAGCACAGTTAAGCCCTGGTCAAGGGGGACGTGACCCAAGGATACTGTACACGCTCCTCCGCCTCAGTTTCCTCGCACTGTACTGCGGGTCTTCCAGAAGAGACCTGAAGCTGATCGAGAGAGAACTGATCAGCACGGGTTGGGAAGCAGATTCCAGCCAGACAGCATCGTTTCTGGAGGGAGTGTTTAAGTTTTCAGCGTGTTCTTGGCCCCTTCCCCCAGAGGAAGCCGGTTAATCACGTCAGGAAGGGTCCCCAGCAGCAGCATGTAATTAAAAAAAACGGGGTGCAGGCTTTTGGGCTGTTTGGGAAATGGGTTTCCAGCACTCAGAGGAGAGGAGCGGGAGAAGGGCGGGAGGAGAGCAGCTCAGGAGCGGGAGTGACATGATTTGAAGAGGTCCAGTGTCTCATAACCCGCCAGGAATAGAAGCAAACTCTATACGCCAGCCTTGCTCCTCACTTACCCATTATCCCTGACAAACTGGAAGGGTTTTTACCTTTGCTACCTAAAAAGGAGCACGACCGGGCTAACGAGCAGGGCTGAAGGGGACAGGCACCGCCACCTTTGTGGGGATCTCCGAGCACCGCACGCTCGGGTCAAGCCCAGCTCCGCGAGCCCGGCCGCTGGCCGGCGGAGCCGGAGGTTAGAGGAGCCCATTCGGTCCTGGAGCCTTCACCTCCCCGCTCCTCCTGTCCAAGAGATTTTTGGCACCGACCCAAGCCTGAATATAGCAAGTCCAGGAGCTGTATAATTTTCATTCCTTCTAATATTACAAGTACCAGGGAAAGAAAGAATGGCCAAACCCAGGGGAAGAAAAAGCGATCCGGGCTGGCACGCCAGGTCCCCGCTGCCCGGCTCGGCCTGGGGAAGGTCAGCAGGGGCTCCAGGCAGCCCCCCCCCAGCAG